AACACATTTCACTAGGGAGGAACACATATCACTATGAAGTCACAGTAGCAGTAGCTCCTGACCTAGTCTTGACACACGAGAAAACAACACCATGCATGCATGGAGGTCATTCTGTAACAAAAACTTTGGGAAATTAGTCCAAAGCCACGAGCACCACTAGTCAGCAGCGTCTGGAAACGAGGTTGATCGATGACCTATCACCCATACAGTCTCATCTCCAACTGAATCCTCCTTCTTCTTTAATACATGTACCATTGCATCGGTGGTATTTTGCTCGCATCTTTCAAATTTGGTCAGCGCTGGTTGGCTATGAAGAATTAGCAGGGGTAGGACTGTCAGAACGTTTTTAAAGGGGCTGCGTCACGAAATTCAGCCACATTAGGCAATTACAAAATCCCTGTTAAATTAAGAAAAACATAAAAATAACTGCTTAAAACTTTAAAGGAAGGTTAAAATAACATAACAGAAACAACAGATGCCACGGATGGGCAAAACTGAAGAAGATTGAAACGGATTAAAATTAGGGTTTTTGAAAACTGTTCAGCCTAACAGTTTTTCAAAGTTGATCCCTGCTACTTGCAACTTCAAGAATAATGCTCAGGAGACATATTTGTTTGTCTCGGATCTCTGATTTTGTCATTTACATGTAATTTCTTTGCTTACTTTAAGTTTCATAGCGATTGAGGGCGAGTAATTGGCAAAATTAAACAAAATGAACTGGACTGCCGTGACACAGCCCCTTTATTAAGTTGCAGGCTGATAATGAATAGTAGGCGGCTTTGGAACTCGCACCAAAGGCACAAGTTTTTTCAGGGCCGAGGCATCTAGGGACATTTTGAAAATTAGTGTCTCAGAAATGGCATTTCCAGGGGTGTTCATGGGGTATTTTCCACTGCGGACGCCATGTTGTTTAGAATACGCAAAAGACTGGGAACAATGCCGTCAAAACGTCCAGGAACCTATTCGATTCTGTGGAGGTTTAACTTCACCCCCTATAAGACTGGAAGGAAGTGTTTCAGTTTATTTCCAGCATTGTAAATGGCAGAACCAACGTGGACTAAGACAATATGGGTCAACTAAAAAGTCTCGTTGACATGTAATACTAACTGAATTGTCACCGAAAGACTGTGGAACTTAAGACATTTATTTGAGGGTAAAAAACTTAGATTTTGTAGCAGAAGTTGATGTATTTCTCTTAGGGAGAAATAAAGTCACGTTGAAAAGTGTTATTGGATTCACTTCTTTCAGACGCTGATAGGAGAGTTGCTTTCTTTGGCAAGCTAGGTTTTGATATCTTTGGGAAGAGCACGTTCTTTGTTGCCCTCCTGAAGTGGGAATCACTCTTAAAAGGCATGAAGGTGATGGAAGCTACAGCAGAAGCTTATGAAAAAGCGTTAAATGATGTCATAACAGATGCAACAAACATCAATAATTTTCAGCAGGTCAGTCATGTTCATTGCCGGTTTAATTAACACTTGGTGATGTAGTTTAAACCATGTAAAGGACTCCGGATTCTGGAATCCAGAAAGATTTTGCTTGTGGTATCCGGAATTCTGGGCTTTGGAATCTGGAATCCAGCTCACAGAATCCAACCAACTTATGACTGCAATTCAGATCCTAAAAATAATTCCACGGACAAAGACTGGAATCCACAACCTGAATCTGGAATCCATCGCGTGGGATCCAGAATCCAAGACTACGTTGAATTCTCTTAAGTGGGGTGAATTTTTAAAATAAAGGTATTTTTTCACTCAGACATAAAATTATTACCTTCTAAATAAACCAACATTCTCTTACACACAGATATCCGGATATCTGGGGGTTCTTTCAAAGAAGACTGAATGTCCTATTTAATGAAAGGAGGAAAATGTAACTGTAAACTGTAACTGGATGGCATACGGAAAATTCCTGTATGCTTTCCTACCAATTTTTTTTGATTTCTTGATTTGCTGGTTTTGGTTAAAGATTTTGGCATAAGAGTAAATATCAAATAATCTGTCAATAATAAAATTATTCAATGTCGGAGATGGTATTCTCCCATTATGAGAATGTTATTTGCTATTTATGCAAAAAAACAACAACAACAGCAAATAAAAAATACTAGTTGTGTTGGTTACTCAGGCCTGTTTCAAACGTCATGCTACTGCTGTGCTAAGCTGGCCCGACTGTAGCGCGACTGCAGCACGACACTAGCACGACTTGGTTTCAGAGGTCGAATTTAATTCAGTTGAATAGAATGGGTGTTGCTGAAAACAAAACACAAAAAATAAACAAACAATTTAGCAAGCTCTTAAATGTATTCTAAGATATTCATGATAACCTAATCGATTCTGTGGAGGTTTAACTTCACCCCCTGTAAGCGAATCCAAGACTGTCTTGGATTCTGGATTCCACGCCGCGGATTCCGGATTCAGGTCCTGGATTCTGGTTTCTTTGTTGATGATTTACAAGTCAAGTAGTGTTTATAACTGATCATTTACAGATGGCGTCGTCGATGTCTATGATTGCTAGCAAACAAGTTAAAGCAGAGAAAGCACGATCAATTGTGGCTAGAAAAATGGATGAAAGTCAAAAATTGTTATATGTTCAGGTAAGTGTAAAAGATATACATACAGCTGTATTATCAGGTTTGGAGATATTCTGGAGCCTTCAACATTATCATCATCATTATCATTATTATTAATATTATGATGATTATGACAGCGTGCAAAGAAAGTAGTGTCCGACAGCTCGGGGCTAGTGGACTTTGCTATTGGGCTAGTGAATTCTGTTTTTAGCTTGCCTGACGGGCAAGTGGTACTTTTTTAGGAATTCGAATAACAGAAGAACTGTAATCAATCCTGCTCATCAAATTTTTTCGGGCTAGTACATGCTTGCTACAGCGTGCCCGAATGGCAAGCTGTAAAACTGACTTTCTTTGCACCTTGTGATGATGATTATCATTGTCGTTGTCTTTGTAGTTTTTGATGTCGCAATGTTGAGGTTACTGTCCCCTGACACTAATAATAACACTACTGTTACTGTTAAGCGACAAGATAACTATAAAAGCAACAAGATAACTAAAAAGTGACAAGATAACTAAAAAGCACTAACTACATGTAACAACAAATAACTACAGCAACAGCAACAACAAAAAAACACAACATCAAAATAAAAAACACAATTTGTTCCACCCATTTTTTTCTCCAAGCTATTAGTGCTACAGAAAAACAAATGAAGGAAATGCTTGAAAGAATTTACTCTCTTATGAAGGAGGCCCAGAGAAAGACACAATACAGGTTGAGCCGAGATCAGGCCTCACATTGATCAAGGTGTCGCTGGTTTTGCAGGTTCAATTGTGGAAAAAGAGCCTTTCGCCTCTCCTCACATGGCTGTAAGTTATGCTCAACAGCAAGTCAACTGGCCCTGCCTCACTAAACTTAAATCCACGATTAAAAGCGTCAAAAAGTGGATGACGTTTAAAAAATATAGCCCTCTGGTGGATTCCTGAGTGACTTGAACTTTTACAAAGTAAATGTGTCTTCTGTTCCTCAAATAATGCAGGTAATTACCCTTTTATAATAAACTTAAGAGATCTTTAATTAGTTGAATACCGAATCGATGTTAACGTTGCATAATATAATAATATTATCACATTTTTAGCAGGCAAAAATTCATTGCAATACAAGGTCTACATGACCATTCTTTCTTCTGTGACTAGCCAAGTAAATCGTGTTAGAGTGTTACAGCTGTATGGACTGTGTCTTACATGTCTTACGTGGCCAGCGTCTAAAACGAATTATTAGAATATCACGCAAATTAAAGAAATCTTATTTTAAAAAAACCCACTTCACGAACATTCGCTTAACACGGGTACCTCATTATTATTACGGACAGTTTCCTTGGTCCCTAAGGAAAGAAAGCCATTACATTTTCGGTAAATTAAACACTTTCTTTTTCTCCTTTGTCCCTATTGATTATTATCCGTTCTAACACAGTTTGGCTTCACACAAGGAAGGATTTATTGAAACAGCAACAATTGGCCACCACAACGTCATCTTGTCACTAAAGTCCCTGTTGTCGTTGTACTCACTATAGTCACTGTTGTCAATGCTGTCACTGTTGTCTCTATTGTTGTCTCTATCTGTTGTCACCATTGTCACCGTTGTCACGGTTGTCACCGTTGTCACTGCTGTAACTGTTGTCACCATTGTCACTGTTGTCACCGTTGTCACCGTTGTCACCGTTGTCACTGTTGTGACTGTTGTGACTGTTGTCACCGTTGTCATTATTGTCACCGTTGTGACTATTGTCACAGTTGTGACCGTTGTCACCGTTGTCACAATTGTCACTGTTGTCACCGTTGTCACCGTTGTCACTGCTGTAACTGTTGTCACATTTGTCATGGTTGTCACCGTTGTCACTGTTGTCACCATTGTCACCGTTTTCACCGTTGTCACTGTTGTGACTGTTGTCACTGTTGTCACCGTTGTCACTATTGTCACCGTTGTGACTATTGTCACACTTGTGACCAATGTCACGGTTGTCACGATTGTCACTGTTGTCACCGTTGTCACCGTTCTCACCGTTGTCACCGCTGTCACTGTTGTCATTGTAGTCATCATTGTCACTGTTGTCACGATTGTCACGCTTGTCACTGTTGTCACTGTGGTCACCGTTGTCACTGTTGTCACCGTTGTTGCTGTTCTAGCTGTTGTCACTGTTGTTACGATTGTCACTGTTGTCACCGTTGTCACCGTTGTCACTGCTGTCACTGTTGTCACCGTTGTCACTCTTGTCACCGCTGTCACTGTTGTCACTGTTGTCACCATTGTCACTGTTGTCATGGTTGTCACTGTTGTCACAGTTGTCGGTGTTGTCACGGTTGTCACCGTTGTCACTCTTGTCACTCTTGTCACCGTTGTCACAGTTGTCACCGCTGTCACTGTTGTCACCATTGTCGCCGTTCTACCTCTTGTCACTGTTGTTACGATTGTCACTGTCGTCACCGCTGTAACTGTTGTCACTGTTGTCACCATTGTCACTGTTGCCACCGTTCTCACCATTGTCATCGTTGTCACCATTGTCACCGCTGTCAATGTTGTCACTGTTGTCACCATTGTCACCTTTGTCACAGTTGTCACGATTGTCACTGTTGTGACTGTTATCACCATTCTCACCGTTGTCACTGTTGTCACTGTTGTCACCGTTGTCACCGTTGTCATTGCTGTCACTGTTGTCACCATTGTCACCATTGTCACTGTTGTTACGGTTGTCACTGTTGTCACCATTGCCACCCCTGTCACAGTTGTCGGTGTTGTCACAGTTGTCACTGTTGTCACTGTTGTCACCTTTGTCACCATTGTCACCGTTGTCACCGTTTTCACCGTTGTCACCATTGTCACTGTTGTTACTCTTGTCACTGTTGTCACTGTTGTCACAATTGTCACCACTGTCACTGTTGTCACTGTTGTCATTGTAGTCATCATTGTCACTGTTGTCACGATTGTCACGGTTGTCACTGTTGTCACCGTTGTCACCATTGTCACTGTTGTCACCGTTGTCGCCATTCTAGCTGTTGTCACTGTTGTCACCGTTCTCACCGTTGTCACTGCTGTCACTGTTGTCACCGTTGTCACTCTTGTCACCGCTGTCACTGTTGTCACTGTTGTCACCATTGTCACTGTTGTCACGGTTGACACTGTTGTAACAGTTGTCACTGTTGTCACAGTTGTCGGTGTTGTCACGGTTGTCGCCGTTGTCACTGTTGTCACCGCTGTCACTGTTGTCACCATTGTTGCCGTTCTACCTGTTGTCACTGTTGTTACGATTGTCACTGTTGTCACTGCTGTAACTGTTGTCACTGTTGTCACCATTGTCACTGTTGCCACCGTTCTCACCGTTTTCATCGTTGTCACCATTGTCACCGCTGTCAATGTTGTCACTGTTGTCACCATTGTCACCTTTGTCACAGTTGTCACGATTGTCACTGTTGTGACTGTTATCACCATTCTCACCGCTGTCACCCTTGTCACTGATGTCACCGTTGTCACCGTTGTCACTGCTGTCACTGTTGTCACCATTGTCACCATTGTCACTGTTGTCACGGTTGTCACGGTTGTCACTGTTGTCACCGTTGCCACCCCTGTCACAGTTGTCAGTGTTGTCACAGTTGTCACCGTTGTCACTGTTGTCACCTTTGTCACAATTGTCACCGTTGTCACCGTTGTCACTGTTGTCACCTTTGTCACCATTGTCACCGTTCTCACCGTTCTCACCGTTGTCATCGTTGTCACCATTGTCATCGCTGTCAATGTTGTCACTGTTGTCACCATTGTCACCTTTGTCACAGTTGTCACGATTGTCACTGTTGTGACTGTTATCACCATTCTCACCGCTGTCACCCTTGTCACTGATGTCACCGTTGTCACCGTTGTCACTGCTGTCACTGTTGTCACCATTGTCACCATTGTCACTGTTGTCACGGTTGTCACGGTTGTCACTGTTGTCACCGTTGCCACCCCTGTCACAGTTGTCAGTGTTGTCACAGTTGTCACCGTTGTCACTGTTGTCACCTTTGTCACAATTGTCACCGTTGTCACCGTTGTCACTGTTGTCACCTTTGTCACCATTGTCACCGTTCTCACCGTTCTCACCGTTGTCATCGTTGTCACCATTGTCATCGCTGTCAATGTTGTCACTGTTGTCACCATTGTCACCTTTGTCACAGTTGTCACGATTGTCACTGTTGTGACTGTTATCACCATTCTCACCGTTGTCACCCTTGTCACTGATGTCACCGTTATCACCGTTGTCACTGCTGTCACTGTTGTCACCGTTGTCACCATTGTCACTGTTGTCACGGTTGTCACGGTTGTCACTGTTGTCACCGTTGCCACCCCTGTCACAGTTGTCGGTGTTGTCACAGTTGTCACCGTTGTCACTGTTGTCACCTTTGTCACAATTGTCACCATTGTCACCGTTATCACTGTTGTCACCTTTGTCACCATTGTCACCGTTGTCACCGTTGTCACCGTTGTCACCCTTGTCACTGTTGTTACTCTTGTCACTGTTGTCACTGTTGTCACAATTGTCAACGCTGTCACTGTTGTCACTGTTGTGACCGTTGCAACCGTTGTCACCGCTGTCACTGTTGTCACCGTTGTCACCATTGTGACGGTTGTCACAGTTGTCACTGTTGTGAATGTTGTCACCATTATGACCATTGTCACCGTTGTCACGGTTGTCACGATTCTCACTGTTGTCACCGTTGTCACCGTTGTCAACGTTGTCACCGTTGTCACGGTTGTCACGGTTGTCACTGTTGTCACCGTTGTCACCACTGTCACTATTCTCACTTTTGTCACTATTGTCACTGTTGCCACCATTGACACCGTTGTCACCGCTGTCACCGCTATCACTGTTGTCACTGTTGTCACCATTGTCACCTTTGTCACGGTTCTCACGATTGTCACTGTTGTGACTGTTGTCACCATTCTCACCGTTGTCACTGTTGTCACTGTAGTCACCGTTGTCATCCGTTGTCACCGTTGTCACAGTTGTCACCGTTGTCACCGTTGTCACTGCTGTAACTGTTGTCACATTTGTCACTGTTGTCACCGTTGTCACTGATGTCAAAGTTGTCACCGTTTTCACCATTGTCACTGTTGTGACTGTTGTCGCTGTTGTCACCGTTGTCACTATTGTCACCATTGTGACTATTGTCACAGTTGTGACCGTTGTCACGGTTGTCACGATTGTCACTGTTGTCACCACTGTCACCGTTGTCACCGTTGTCACCGCTGTCACTGTTGTCATTGTAGTCATCATTGTCACTGTTGTCACGATTGTTACGCTTGTCACGCTTGTCACTGTTGTCACTGTTGTCACCGTTGTCACTGTTCTCACCGTTGTCGCCGTTCTAGCTGTTGTCACTATTGTTACGATTGTCACTGTTGTCACCGTTGTCACCGTTGTCACTGCTGTCACTGTTGTCACCGTTGTCACTCTTGTCACCGCTGTCACTGTTGTCACTGTTGTCACCATTGTCACTGTTGTCACGGTTGTCACTGTTGTGACCGTTGTCACTGTTGTCACCGTTGTCGGTGTTGTCACCGTTGTCGGTGTTGTCACGGTTGTCACGGTTGTCACTCTTGTCACTCTTGTCACCGTTGTCACTGTTGTCACCGCTGTCACTGTTGTCACCATTGTCGCCGTTCTACCTCTTGTCACTGTTGTTACGGTTGTCACCGTTGTCACTTTTGTCACTCTTGTCACTGTTGTCACTGTCGTCACCGCTGTAACTGTTGTCACTGTTGTCACCATTGTCACTGTTGCCACCGTTCTCACCATTGTCATCGTTGTCAAAATTGTCACCGCTGTCAATGTTGTCACTGTTGTCACCATTCTCACCTTTGTCACAGTTGTCACGATTGTCACTGTTGTGACTGTTATCACCATTCTCACCGTTGTCACCCTTGTCACTGATGTCACCGTTGTCACCGTTGTCACCGTTGTCACTGCTGTCACTGTTGTCACCGTTGTCACCACTGTCACTGTTGTCACGGTTGTCACTGTTGTCACAGTTGCCACCCCTGTCACAGTTGTCGGTGTTGTCACACTTGTCACCGTTGTCACTGTTGTCACCTTTATCAACATTATCACCGTTGTCACCGTTGTCACCGTTGTCACCGTTGTCACTGTTGTTACTCTTGTCACTGTTGTCACTGTTGTCACAATTGTCACCGCTGTCACTGTTGTCACTGTTGTGACCATTGTAACCGTTGTCAGCGCTGTCACTGTTGTCACTGTTGTCATTGTAGTCATCGTTGTCACTGTTGTCACGATTGTCACGGTTGTCACTGTTGTCACCGTTGTCACCATTCTCACTGTTGTCATCGTTGTCGTCATTCTAGCTGTTGTCAGTGTTGTTACGATTGTCACTGTTGTCACTGTTGTCACCGTTCTCACCGTTGTCACTGCTGTCACTGTTGTCACCGTTGTCACTCTTGTCACCGCTGTCACTGTTGTCACTGTTGTCACCATTGTCACTGTTGTCACGGTTGACACTGTTGTAACAGTTGTCACTGTTGTCACAGTTGTCGGTGTTGTCACGGTTGTCGCCGTTGTCACTGTTGTCACCGCTGTCACTGTTGTCACCATTGTTGCCGTTCTACCTGTTGTCACTGTTGTTACGATTGTCACTGTCGTCACCGCTGTAACTGTTGTCACTGTTGTCACCATTGTCACTGTTGCCACCGTTCTCACCGTTTTCATCGTTGTCACCATTGTCACCGCTGTCAATGTTGTCACTGTTGTCACCATTGTCACCTTTGTCACAGTTGTCACGATTGTCACTGTTGTGACTGTTATCACCATTCTCACCGCTGTCACCCTTGTCACTGATGTCACCGTTGTCACCGTTGTCACTGCTGTCACTGTTGTCACCATTGTCACCATTGTCACTGTTGTCACGGTTGTCACGGTTGTCACTGTTGTCACCGTTGCCACCCCTGTCACAGTTGTCAGTGTTGTCACAGTTGTCACCGTTGTCACTGTTGTCACCTTTGTCACAATTGTCACCGTTGTCACCGTTGTCACTGTTGTCACCTTTGTCACCATTGTCACCGTTCTCACCGTTCTCACCGTTGTCATCGTTGTCACCATTGTCATCGCTGTCAATGTTGTCACTGTTGTCACCATTGTCACCTTTGTCACAGTTGTCACGATTGTCACTGTTGTGACTGTTATCACCATTCTCACCGTTGTCACCCTTGTCACTGATGTCACCGTTATCACCGTTGTCACTGCTGTCACTGTTGTCACCGTTGTCACCATTGTCACTGTTGTCACGGTTGTCACGGTTGTCACTGTTGTCACCGTTGCCACCCCTGTCACAGTTGTCGGTGTTGTCACAGTTGTCACCGTTGTCACTGTTGTCACCTTTGTCACAATTGTCACCATTGTCACCGTTATCACTGTTGTCACCTTTGTCACCATTGTCACCGTTGTCACCGTTGTCACCGTTGTCACCCTTGTCACTGTTGTTACTCTTGTCACTGTTGTCACTGTTGTCACAATTGTCAACGCTGTCACTGTTGTCACTGTTGTGACCGTTGCAACCGTTGTCACCGCTGTCACTGTTGTCACCGTTGTCACCATTGTGACGGTTGTCACAGTTGTCACTGTTGTGAATGTTGTCACCATTATGACCATTGTCACCGTTGTCACGGTTGTCACGATTCTCACTGTTGTCACCGTTGTCACCGTTGTCAACGTTGTCACCGTTGTCACGGTTGTCACGGTTGTCACTGTTGTCACCGTTGTCACCACTGTCACTATTCTCACTTTTGTCACTATTGTCACTGTTGCCACCATTGACACCGTTGTCACCGCTGTCACCGCTATCACTGTTGTCACTGTTGTCACCATTGTCACCTTTGTCACGGTTCTCACGATTGTCACTGTTGTGACTGTTGTCACCATTCTCACCGTTGTCACTGTTGTCACTGTAGTCACCGTTGTCAACGTTGTCACCGTTGTCACAGTTGTCACCGTTGTCACCGTTGTCACTGTTGTCACTTTTGTCACCATTGTCACAGTTGTCACCGTTGTCATCGTTGTCACCGTTGTCACTGTTTTTACTCTTGTCACTGTTGTCACTGTAGTCACAATTGTCACCACTGTCACTGTTGTCACTGTTGTGACCTTTGTAACCATTGTCACCACTGTCACTTTTGACACCATTGTCACCATTGTGACGGTTGTCACGGATTTCACTGTTGTGAATGTTGTCACCATTATGACTGTTGTCACCGTTGTCACGGTTGTCACAATTGCCACTGTTGTCACCATTGTCACCACTGTCACTGTTGTCACCGTTGTCACCATTCTTACTGTTGCCAACGTTGTCAGCGTTGTCACCGTTGTCACCCCTGTGACCTTTGTCACGGTTGTCACGATTGTCACTGTTGTCACTGTTGTCACCATTATCACTGTTGTCACCGTTGTCACTATTGTCACCGTTGTCACTGTTGTCACTGTGTTGACTATTGTCACTGTTGTGGCCGTTGTCACGGTTGTCACGATTGTCACTGTTGTCACCGTTGTCACTGTTGTCACCGCTGTCACTGTTGTCATTGTAGTCATCGTTGTCACTGTTGTCACGATTGTTACGATTCTCACTGTTGTCACCGTTGTCACCGGTGTCACCATTGTCACCGTTGTCACCGTTGTCACTCTTGTCACCATTGCCGCCGTTCTAGCTGTTGTCACTGTTGTTACAATTGTCACTGCTGTCACCGCTGTCACCGCTGTCACCGTTGTCACCGTTGTCACCCCTGTCACTGTTGTCACGGTTGTCACGGCAGTCACTGTTGTCACTGTTGTCACCGTTGTCACTCTTGTCGGTGTTGTCACGCTTGTCACTGTTGTCACTGTTGTCACTCTTGTCACCATTGTCAGCGCTGTCACTGTTGTCACTGTTGTTACGATTGTCACTGTTGTCACCGTTCTCACCGTTCCACCGTTGTCACCGCTTTCACTGTTGTTACTGTTTAAACCATTGTCATTGTTGTCACCGTTGTCACTGTTGTCATCATTGTGACTATTGTTACAGTTGTGACTGTTGTCACGGTTGTCACGATTGTCAATGTTGTCACGGTTGTCACTGTTGTCTCTGTTGTCACAACTGTCACTGTTCTCACTGTTGTCACCATAGTCACTGTTGCCACTGTTGTCAGCGTTGTCAACGCTGTCACTGTTGTCTCTGTTGTCACCATTGTAACCTTTTTCACGGTTGTCAAGATTGTCACTGTTGTGACTGTGGTCACTATTCTCACCGTTGTCGCCGTTTTCACCGTTGTCACTGTTGTGACTGTTGTCGCTGTTGTCACCGTGTTGACTATTGTCACTGTTGTGACCATTTTCACGGTTGTCACGATTGTCATTGTTGTCACCGTAGTCACCATTGTCACCGCTGTCACTCTTGTCATTGTAGTCATTGTTCTCACTGTTGTCAGGATTGTCACTGTTGTCACTGTTGTCACCATTGTCACCGTTGTCACCTTTGTGACCGTTCTCACCGTTGTCACTGTTGTCACTGTTGTCACGGTTGTCACGGTTGTCACTGTTATCACAGTTGTCACCGTTGTCACAGTTGTCGGTATTGTCACGCTTCTCACCATTGTCACTCTTGTCACTCTTGTCACTTTTGTCACCGCTGTCACTCTTGTCATTGTAGTCATCGTTCTCACTGTTGTCACGATTGTCACGGTTGTCACTGTTGTCACCATTGTCACCGTCGTCACCTTTGTCAACGTTGTCACCGTTGTCTCTGTTGTCACCGTTGCCGCCGGTCTACCTGTTGTCACTGTTGTTACGATTGTCAATGTTGTCACCGTTGTCACCGTTGTCACCCCTGTCACTGTTGTCACGGTTGTCACGGTTTTCACTGTTGTCACCATTGTCACCATTGTCACAGTTGTTGGTATTGTCACGCTTGTCACCGTTGTCACTGTTGTCACTCTTGTCACTGTTGTTACCATTGTCACCTTTGTAAGGGTTGTCACAATTGTCAATATTTCGACTGTTGTCACCATTCTCACCGTTGTCACTGTTGTCACTGTTGTGATGGTTCTCACTGTTGTCACGATTGTCACTGTTGTCACCGTTGTCTCCGTTGTCACCGTTGTCACCGTTGTCACCATTGTCACCGCTGTCACTGTTGTCATCTTAGTCATCGTTTCACTGTTGTCACGATTGTCACGGTTGTCACTGTTGTCACTGTTGTAACCTCTGTCAATGTTGTCACTGTTGTCACCGTTGTCACTTTTGTCACGGTTGTTACAGTTTTCACTGTTGTCACTGTTGGCACCGTTGTCACTGTTGTCTTGTTGTCGCGGTTCTCACCATTGTCACTCTTGTCACTCCTGTCACCGCTGTAACTGTTGTCACCGTAATCACTGTTGTCACTGTTGTCACCATTGTCACTGTTGTCACCATTATCACCGTTCTCGCTGTTGTCACTATTTGACGATTGTCACTGTTGTCACCGTTGTCACCGATGTCATCACTGTCACTCTTGTCACTGTTGTCACGGTTGTCACTGTTCTCACGGTTGTCGCAGTTCTCACTGTTGTTACAGTTGTTGGTGTTTTCAAGGGTTTCACCGTTGTCACCGTTGTTACGGTTGTCACAGTTATCACTGTTGGCACTGTTGTCAGTGTTGTCACCGTTGTCTCGATTGTCACCATTGTCACTCTTGTCACCGCTTTCACTGTTGTCATTGTTTTCACCGTTGTCGCTGTTGTCACGGTTGTCACCATTGTCACTGTTGTCACCGTTGTCACCATTTTCACCGCTGTCACTGTTGTGATTGTTTTCACCGTTGTCACTCTTGTCATTGTTTTCATCGTTGTCACTGTTGTCACCGTTGTCACCATTGTCACTGTTGTCACCGTTCTCAGCGCTATGACCGCTGTCACTGATGTTATTGTTTCCACCGTTGTCACTGTTGTCACCGATGTGACCATTGTCATTTTTGTCACCGTTTTTGCCGTTCTCGCTGTTGTCACTGTTGTCATGATTGTCACTGTTGTCACCGTTGTCACCATTGTCACCTCTGTCACTGTTGAGACTGTTGTCACTTTTGTCACAGTTGTCACTATTGTCACCGTTCTTACCGTTGTCACCGATGTCACCATTGTCTCTGTTGTCACGGTTGTCACTGTTGTCACTGTTGTCACTGTTGTCACTGTTGTCACCGTTGTCACAGTTGTCGGTGTTGTCACTGTGTCACCGTTGTCACTGTTGTGACTTTAGTCACCATTGTCACCGTTGCCACCATTGTTACCATTGTCACTGTTGTTACTGTTCTTACTCTTGTCACTGTTGTCACTATTGTCACAATTGTCACTGCTTTCACTGTTGTCACTGTGTTGACCGTTGTCACCGTTGTCACTGCCTTCACTTTTGTCATTGTTTTCGCCATTGTCACTGTTGTCACGTTTGTCACTGTTGTTACCGTTGTCACCGTTGTCACCTCTGATACTGTTGTCACTGTTGTCACCGTTGTGACTTTTGTCACGGTTGTCGCCGTTGTCACTTTTGTCGGTGTTGTCACGGTAGTCACCTTTGTCCCCGTTGTCACCGCTGTCACTGTTGCCACTTTTTTCACTGCTGTCACCGTTGTCACCGTTTTCACGGTTGTCACAGTTGTCACTGTTGTCACTGATTTCACCGTTGTCACCGCTTCACGGTTGTTACGATAGTCGCTGTTGTCACCGTTGTCACCGTCGTCACCGCTGTCACTTTTGTCATTGTTTTCGCCGTTGTCACTCTTGTCACTGTTGTCACGATTGTCACTGATGTCACCGTTGTCACCGATGTCATTACTGCCACTCTTGTTACCGTTGTCACGGTTGTCACTGTTGTCACCTTTGTCACCGATGTCACAGTTCTTGGTGTTTTCAAGGTTGTCACCGTTGTCGCCGTTGTCATGGTTGTTAAAGTTGTCACTGTTGTCACTGTTGTCACCGTTGTCACTGTTGTCACGGTTGTCACCATTGTCACTGTTGTCACCGCTGTCACTGTTGTCACTGCTGTGACTGTTGTCATTGTTTTCACCGTTGTCACTGTTATCACAGTGTTCACCATTGTCACTGTTGTCACCGTTGTTACCGTTGTAACTGTTTTTACCGATGTGACCGTTGTAATTTTAGTCACCGTTTTCGCCGTTCTCGCTGTTGTCACTTTTGTCACCGTTGTGGCCGTTGTCACCTCTGTCACTGTTGTCACTGGTGTCACCATGGTCACTTTTTTAACGGTTGTCACAGTTGTCACTGTTGTCACCGTTGTCACCGTTGTCACAGTTGTCATCATCATTACTGTTCTCACTCTTGTCAGCATTGTCACTGTTGTCACCGCTGTCATTGTTGTCACCATTGTCACCATTGTCACTGTTGTGACGGTTGTCACGGTTGTCACTATTGTCACCGTTGTCACCGTTGTCACCGTTGTCACAGTGGTCGGTGTTGTCACTGGTGTCACCGTTGTCACTTTTTTCACGGTTGTCACAGTTCTCACTGTTGTCACCGTTGTCACAGTTGTCATTGTCATTACTGTTGTCACCGTTGTCACCATTGTCACCGTTGTCACCGCTGTCATTGTTGTGACCATTGTCACCATTGTCACTGTTGTGACGGTTGTCACTGTTGTCACCATTGTCACCGTTGTCACCGCTGTCATTGTTGTCACCATTGTCACTCTTGTGACAGTTGTCACGGTTGTAACTATTGTCACCGTTGTCACCGTTGTCACCGTTGTCACAGTGGTCGGTGTTGTCACAGTTGTCACCGTTGTCACTTTTTTCACTTTTCTCACCATTGTCACTGTTGTCACCGTTGTCACCATTTTCACTGTTCTCACTGTTGTTACTCTTGTCACTGTTGTCACAATTGTAACCTCTGTCACTGTTGTCACTGTTCTCACCGTTGTCACTTTTGTCATGGTTGTCACCGTTGTCACTGTTGTCGGTGTTGTCACGGTTGTCACCGTTGTCACCTTTGTCACCGTTGTCACTGTTGTCACCCATGTCACCGATGTCATTACTGTAACTCTTGTCACTGTTGTCACGGTTGTCACTGTTGTCACCATTCTCACCGTTCTCACCGTTCTCACCGTTCTCACCGTTGTCACCGCTGTCACTCTTGTCACCATTGTCACTGTTGCCACTGTTGCCACCGTTGTCACTGTTGTCACCGTTGCCATCTTTGTCACGATTGTCACTGTTGTCACCGATGTTACCGTTGTCATCTCTGTCGCTGTTGTCACTGTTGTCACCTTTGTCACTTTTCTCACGGTTGTCACAGTTGTCACTGTTGTCACCGTTGTCACCGTTGTCAGCGTTGTCACCGTTGTTTCTGTTGTCAATGTTGTCACCGCTGTTACCGTTGTCACCGCTAACACTGTTGTCACCGTTGTCACAATTGTCACTGTTGTCACAGTTGTCACGGTTGTCACTGTTGTCACCGTTGTCACCGTTGCCACCGTTGTCACCGTTGTCACAGTTGTCGGTGTTGTCACAGTTTTCACCATTGTCACTGTTGTCACTTTTGTTACCATTGTCACCGTTGTCAGCATTGTCACTGTTGTCACTGTTGTTACTCTTGTCACTGTTGTCACAATTGTCACCACTGTCACTGTTGTCACTGTTCTGACCGTTGTCACCGTTGTCACCGTTGTCACTGCTGTTACTGTTGTCATTGTTTTCGCTATTTTCACTGTTGTCACGATTGTCACTGATTTTACCATTGTCACCGTTGTCACCTCTGTCACTGTTGTCACTGTTGTCATGGTTGTCACCGTTGTCACTTTTGTCACGGTTGTCACCGTTGTCACTGTTGTCGGTGTTCTCACCGTTATCACCGTTGTCACTCTTGTCACTCTTATCACCATTCTCACCGTTGTCACCGTTGTCACTGTTGTCACCATTGTCACTGTTGTCACCGTTGTCACCGATGTCATCAGTGTCACTCTTGTCACTGTTGTCACGGTTTTCACAGATCTCACTGTTGTCACCGTTGTCACCGTTGTCACCGTTCTCACCGTTGTCACCGCTGTCACTGTTGTCACTGTTGTCACCATTGTCACTGTTGCCACCGTTGTCAGTGTTGTCACCATTGCCACCTTTGTCACGGTTGTCACGATTGTCACTGTTGTGACTGTTGTCACCACTCTCACTGTTGTCACCGTTGTCACCATTGTCACTGTTCTTACGGTTGTCACAGCTGTCACCGTTGTCACTGTTGTCACCGTTGTCACCGCTGTCACTGTTGTCACCGTTGTCACCATTGTCACTGTTGTCACGATTGCCATGGTTGTCACTGTTGTAACCGTTGTCACCGTTGTCACAGGTGTCGGTGTTGTTACAGTTGTCACTGTTGTCACTTTTGTCACCGTTGTCACCGTTGTCATCATTCTCACCATTGTCACCGTTGTCACTCTTGTCACTGTTGCCGCCGTTCTAGCTGTTGTTACTGTTGTTACGATAGTCAGTGTTGTCACCGTTGTCACCGTTGTCACCCCATACACCGTTGTCACTAATTTCACCGTTGTCACTGTCGTCACCTCTGTTACTGTTGTCACTGTTGTCACCGTTGTCACTTTTGTCACGGTTGTTACAGTTGTCACTGTTATCAATGTTGGCACCGTTGTCACTCTTGTCGTTGTTGTCACGGTTCTCACCATTGTTACTCTTGTCACTCCTGTCACCGCTGTCACCGTTGTCACCGTTGTCACTGTTGTCACTGTTGTCACCGTTGTGACTGTTGTCATCACTGTCACTCTTCTCGTTGTTGTCACGGTTGTAACTTGTCACTGTTTTCACCATTGTCCCTGTTGCCACCGTTGTCACTGTTTTCACCGTTGTCACCTTTGTCACGGTTGTGACGATTGTCACTGTTGTGACTTTTGTCACCTTTTTCACCGTTGTCACCGTTGTCAGCGTTGTCACTGTTGTCACTGCTGTCACTGTTGTTACGGTTGTCACTATTGTCACCGCAGTAACCGTTCTCGCCACTGTCGCTGTTGTCACCGTTGTCACCATTGTCACTCTTGTCACGGTTGTCACTGTTGTCATTGTTGTCTCCATTGTCACCGCTGTCACTGTTATCACCATTCTCACTGTTGTTACGGTTGTCATGGTTGTCACTGCTGTCACCATTGTCACCGTTGTCAGTGTTGTCACAGTTGTCACCGTTGTCACCGTTGTCACGGTTGTCACTTTTGTCACCATTGTCACCGGTCTTACCTTGGTCACCATTGTCACTGATGTCACGGTTGTCACTATTGTCACTATTGTCACCGTTGTCACCGTTGTTACCGTTGTCACTGTTGTCACTGTTGTTAGTGTTGTCACCGTTGTCACTGTTATTATTGTTGTCACCGTTGTCACCGTTGTCACCACGGTCACTGTTGCCACTTTTTTCACCGTTGTCACCGTTGTCACAGTTGTCATTGTTGTCACGTTATCACCGTTGTAACCGTTGTCACGGTTGTCACGATTGTCACTGTTGTCACTGTTGTCATTGTTTTTGCCGTTGTCACAGCTGTCACTTTTGTCACTGTTGTCATTGTTGTCACTTTTGTCACAGTCGTCACAGTTGTCACTGTTGTCACTGTTGGCACCGTTGTCACTGTTTTCGGTGTTGTCACGGTTCTCACCGTTGTCACAGTTGTCACCTCTGCCACTGTTGTCACTGTTCTCACCGTTGTCACCTCTGTCACTGTTGTCACTGTTGTCACCGTTGTAACTTTTGTCATTGTTGTCACAGTTGTCACTGTAGTCACCGTTGGCCCCGTTGTCACTGTTGTCAGTGTTCTCACGGTTCTCACCGTTATCACTTTTGTCACTCCTGTCACCGTTGTCAGCATTGTCACCGTTGTCACAGTTGTCACTGTTGTCACCATTATCTCCGTTCTCGCTGATGTCACTGTTGTCACGATTGTCACTGTTGTCACCGTTGTCACAGTTGTCACTGTCGTCACCATTGTTACCATTGTCTCAGTTTTTGGTGTTTTCAAGGTTGTCACCGTTACCACCGTTGTCACGATTGTCACAGTTGTCACTGTTTTCACTGTTGTCATCTTTGTCATGGTTGTCACCTTTGTCACCATTGTCACTGTTGTCACCACTGTCACTGTTGTCACCACTGTCACTGTTGTTACCGTTGTCACCGTTGTCACCGCTGTCATTGTTTGTATTGTTTTCAACATTGTCACTGTTGTCACGGTTGTCACAATTGTGACTGTTCTCACCGTTGTCACCGTTGTCACTGTTGTCACCGATGTGACCATTGTCATTTTTGTCACCGTTTTCGCCGTTCTTGCTGTTGTCACTGTTGTCACGATTGTTACTGTTGTCACCGTAGTCAAAGTTGTCACCTCTGTCACTGTTGTCACTGTTGTCAGCGTTGTTACTTTTGTCATGGTTCTCACAGTTGTCACTGTTGTCACCGTTGTCACCGTTGTCACTTTTGTCACCGTTTTCACTGTTGTCACGGTTGTCACTGTTGTCACTGTTGCCACCGTTGTCACCATTGTCACCGCTGTCACTGTTGCCACTCTCTTTACCGTTTGTCACCGTTGTCACCGTTGTCATGGTTGTCACAGTTGTCAGTGTTGTCACTGTTTTCAACATTGTCACCGTTGTCACGGCTGTCACGATTGTCACTCTTGTCACCATTGTCACCGTTGCCACCTCTGTCACTGTTGTCACTGTTGTCACTGTTGTCACTTTTGTCACGGTTGTCACAGTTGTCACTGTTGTTACCGTTGGCACCGTTGTCACTGTTGTCACTGTTGTCGGTGTTGTCACGGTTCATAATGTTGTCACTCTTGTCACTCCTGTCACCTTGTCACCGTTGTCACCGTTGTCACTGTTGTCACTGTTGTCACTATTGTCACTGTTGTCACCATTATCACCGTTCTCGCTGTTGTCACTGTTGTCACCCTTGTCACCGATGTCATCACTGTAACTCTTGTCACTGTGTTCACGGTTGTCACTGTTGTCACAGTTGTTACACTTGTCACTGTTGTCATTTTTGTCACCGTTGTTACAGTTGTTGGTGTTTTCAAGGTTGTCACCGTTGTCACCGTTGTCACGGTTGTCACGGTTGTCACAGTTGTCACTGTTGTCACTGTTGTCATCGTTTTCACCGTCGTCACTGTTGTCGCGGTAGTCACCATTTTTACTGTTGTCACCATTGTCACCGTTGTCACCGCTGTCTCTGTTGTCATTGTTTTCACCGTTCTCACTGTTGTCACGGTTGTCACCATTGTCACTGTTGTCATCGTTGTCACTTTTGTCACCGCTGTCACTGTTGTTGTTGTTTTCACCGTTGTCTTTGTTGTCACGGTTGTCACGGTTGTTACTCTTGTCACCGTTGTCACCGTTGTCACCGCTGTCACTGTTGTCACCATTGTCGCCGTTCTACCTGTTGTCACTATTGTTACCTTTGTCACTGTTGTCACCGTTGTCACCGTTGTCACCGCTGTCACTGTTGTGACTGTTTTCACCATTGTCACTGTTGTCACCGTTGTCACTGTTGTCATCGTTGTGACTATTGTTACAGTTTTGAACGTTGTCACGGTTGTCACGATTGTCACTGTTGTCACCGTTGTCACTGTTGTCCCTGCTGTCACTGTTGTCATTGTAGTCGTCGTTCTCACTGTTGTTACGATTGTCACGGTTGTCACTGTTGTCACCATTGTCACCGTTGTCACTGTTGTCACCGTTGTCGCCGTTGTAGCTGTGTTCACTGTTGTAACGATTGTCACTGTTTTCACTATTGTGACCGTTGTCACAGTTGTCACCGCTGTCACTGTTGTCATTGTTTTCACTCTTGTCACCTCTGTCACTGTTGTCACTGTTGTCACCGTTGTCACTTTTGTCACGGTTGTTACAGTTGTCACTGTTGTCACTGTTGTCACCGTTGTCACTGTTGTCGTTGTTTTCACGGTTCTCACCATTGTCACTCTTGTTACTTCTCTCACCGATGTTACCGTTGTCACAATTATCACAGTTCTCGCTGTTGTCACTGTTGTCACCGTTGTCACCGATGTCATCACTGTCACTCTTGTCACTGTTGTCACGGTTGTCACTATGTCACGGTTGTCACAGTTGTCACTGTTGTCACCATTTTCCCTGTTGTCACACTTATTGGTGGTTTTAAAGTTGTCACCGTTGTCACCGTTGTCACGGTTGTCACAGTTATTACTGTTGTCACTGTTGTCACCGTTGTCACCGTTGTCACCGTTGTCACGGTTGTGACCATTGTCACTGTTGTCACCGCTTTCACTGTTGTCATTGTTTTCACCATTGTCACTGTTTTAACAATTGTCACCATTGTCACTGTTGTCACCGTTGTCACCATTAACACCGCTGTCACTGATGTCATTGTTTTCACCGTTGTCAGTGGTGTCACCGTTGCCACCGTTGTCACAGTTGTCACCGTTGTTACTGTAGTCACTGTTGTCACCGTTGTCACCGCTGTCACTGTTGTCACCGTTGTCACCATTGTCTCTGTTGTCACAGTTGTCACGGTTGTCACTGTTGTCACCGTTGTCACCGTTGTCACCATTGTTACAGTTGTCGGTGTTGTCACAGTTGTCACCGTTCCCACTTTTGTCACTGTTGTCACAATTTTTACCACTGTCACTGTTGTCACTGTTATGACCGTTGTTACCGTTGTCACTGCTGTCACTGTTGTCATTGTTTTCGCCATTGTCACTGTTGTGACGATTGTCACTCTTGTCACTCTTATCACCGTTGTCACCGTTGTCACCGTTGTCACTGTTGTCACCATTGTCACTGTTGTCACCGTTGTCACCGCTGTCACCAATGTCATCACTGTCACTCTTGTCACTGTTCTCACGGTTGTCACGGTTCTCTTGTTGTCACGGTTGTCAAAAAAGTCACTGTTGTCACCGTTGTCTTTGTTGTCACTGTTGTCACCATTGTCACTGTTGTCACTGTTGTCACTGTTGTCATCGCTGTCGCCGTTGTCACTCTTGTCACTGTTCTCACGGTTGTCACAGTTCTCCTGTTGTCACTAGTGTCACCGTTCTCACTGTTGTCACCGCTGTCACTGTTGTCACTGTTTTCACCATTGTCACTATTGTCACCGTTGCCACCTTTGTCATGGTTGTCACGATTGTCACTGTTGTTACTGTTCTTACCATTCTCACCGTTGTCACCGTTGTCACTGTTGTCATTGTTGTCACAGTTGTTACGGTTGTCACTGTTGTCACCGTTGTCACCGTTGTCACCGCTGTTACTGTTGTCACCGCTGTCACCAGTGTCACTGTTGTCACGGTTGTCACGGTTGCCACTGTGGTCACTGTTTTTATCGTTGTCACCGCTCTCACTGTTGTCACCGTTGTCACCATTGTCACTGTTGTCACCGTTGTCACGGTTGTCACTGTTGTCACCGTTGTCACCATTGTCACAGTTGTCGGTGTTGTCTCAGTAGTCACTGTTGTCACTAATGTCACTTTTGTCACCATTGTCACCGTTGTCACCTTTGTCACCATTGTCACTGTTTTCACGGTTGTCACTGTTGTCACCGTTGTCACTGTTGTCACAGTTGTCGGTGTTGTCACTGTTGTCACCGTTGGTACGGTTGTCACGGTTGTCAGTGTTATCACCGTTGTCACCGTTGTCACTGTTGTCACTGTTGTCACTGTTGTCACCGTTGTCACTGTGGCCACTCTTGTCACCGTTGTCACCGCTGTCACTGTTGCCACTTTTTTCACCATTGTCACCATTGTCACCGTTGTAATGGTTGTTACAGTTATCACTGTTGTCACTGTTTTCACCGTTGTCACCGTTATCACGGTTGTCACGATTGTCACCGTTGTCACCGTTGTCACCGTTGTCACTGTTGTCACTGTTTTAACTGTTGTGAGTCTTTTCACCATTGTTACCGTTGTCACCTTTGTCACGGTTGTCACAGTTGCACTGTTGTTACCGTTGTCACCGTTGTCACCGTTGTCACTGTTGTCACTGTTCAAAATGTTGTTACTCTTGTCACTGTTGTCACTGTTGTCACAATTGTCACTGCTGTTACTGTTGTTACTGTTGTGACCATTGTCACCGTTGTCACTGTTGTCACCGTTGTCACTGTTGTGGCGGTTGTTGCGGTTTTAACTGTTGTGACCCTTTTCACCATTGTCACCATTGTCACTGTTGTCACCGTTGTCACCGTTGTAACCGTTGTCACAGTTGTTTGTGTTATCAACGTTGTCACCGTTGTCACTGTTTTCACTGTTGTCACTGTTGTCACTGTTGTCACCGCTGTCACTGTTGCCACTTTTTTCACCGTTGTCACCGTTGTTACGGTTGTCACGGTGGTCACAGTTGTCACTGTTGTCACTGTTTTTACCGTTGTCACCGTTGTCACGGTTGTCACGATTGTCACTGTTGTCACCGTTGTCACCGTTGTCAGCACTGTCACTGTTGTCTTTGTTTTCCCCGTTGTCACTCTTGTCACTGTATTCACGATTGTCACTGTTGTTACCGTTGTCACCGTATTCACCTCTGTCACTGTATTGACTGTGTCACTTTTGTCACGGTTGTCACAGTTGTCACTGGTGTCACTGTTGCCACCGTTGTCACTGTTGTCGGTGTTGTCACGGTTGTCACCGTTCTTACTCTTGTCACCATTGCCACCGTTGTCGCTGTTGTTACCATTGTCACTGTTGTCACTGTTGTCATCATTGTCACCCTTGTCACCATTATCACCGTTCTCGCTGTTGTCACTGTTGTCATGATTGTCACTGTTGTCACCGTTGTCACCGATGTCATCACTTTCACTCTTGTCACTGTTGTCACAGTTGTCAGAGTTGTCACTGTTGTCACCATTATCACCGTTCTCACTGTTGTTGGTGTTTTCCTGGTTGTCCCCGTTGTCTCCGTTGTCACGGTTGTCACAGTTGTCACGGTTGTCACTGTCACTGTTGTCACCGTTGTCACGGTTGTCACGATTGTCACTGCTGTCACCGTTGTCACCGTTGTCACGGTTGTCACAGTTGTTACCGTTGTCACAGTTGTCACGGTTGTCACTATTGTCACTTTTGTCACTGTTGTTACTCTTGTCACTGTTGTCACTGTTGTCACAATTGTCACCGCTGTCACTGTTGTCACTGTTGTAGCCGTTGTCACCATTGTCACTGCTGTCACTGTTCTCATTGTTTTCGCCGTTGTCACTTTTGTCACGATTCTCACTATTGTTACTGTTATCACCGTTGTCACCTCTGTCACTGTTGACACTGTTGTCACAGTTGTCACTTTTGTCACGGTTGTCACTGTTGTCACTGTTGTCGGTGTTGTCACGGTTGTCACCATTGTCAGTCTTGTCACTACTGTCACCGTTGTCACCGTTGTGAATGTTTTCAGCATTGTCACTATTGTCACCGTTGTCACCGACGTCATCACTTTCACTCTTGTCCCTCTTGTCACGGTTGTCACGGTTGTCACAGTTGTCACTGGTGTCACGGTTGTCACAGTTGTCACTGCTGTCACCATTGTCACTTTTGTCACAGTTATTGGTGTTTTCAAGGTTGTCACCGTTGTCACCGTCATGACGGTTGTCACGGTTGTCACTGTTGTCACCATTGTCACCGTTGTCACAGTTGTTGTTGTTTTCAAGGTTGTAACCGTTGTCCCTGTTGTGACTGTTGTCACGGTTGTCACTGTTGTCACTTGTCACCGTTGTCACCGTTGTCACTGTTGTCACCGTTGTCACGTTTGTCACTGTTGTCACTGTTGTCACCGTTCTCACCGTTCTCACCGCTATTACTGTTGTCAGTTTTTTCACCGGTGTCACTGTTGTCAATGTTGTCACGGTTGTCACAGTTGTCACTGTTGTCACTGTTTTCCAATTGTCACCGTTGTCACGGTTGTCACGATTGTCACTGTTGTCACTGTTGTTACTGTTGTCACCGCTCTCAATGTTGTTATTGTTTTTGCCGTTCTCACTGTTGTTACTGTTATCACGATTGTCACTGTTGTCACCGTTGTCACCGTTGTCGCCTCTGTCACTGTTGTCACTCTTTTCACCGTTCTCACTTTTGGCACGGTTGTCACCATTATCACCATTCTCGCTGTTTTCACTGTTGTCACGATTTTCACTGTTGTCACCGTTTTCACCGAAGTCATCGCTGTCACGGTTGTCACGGTTGTCACGGTTGTCACTGTTGTCACGGTTGTCACAGTTGTCAGTGTTGTCACCATTGTCACCGTTGTTACAGTTGTCGGTGTTGTCACGGTTGTCACCGTTGTCACTCTTCACACTCTTGTCACCGTTGTCACCGTTCTCACTGTTGTCACTGTTGTCGCTGTTGTCACTGTTGTCATCATTATCACCATTCTCGCTGTTGTCACTGTTGTCATGATTGTCACTGTTGCCACGGTTGTCACAGTCGTCACTGTTGTCAAAATTGCCACCGTTTTCACAGTTGTTGGTGTTATCAACGTTTTCACCCTTGTCAAAGTTCTCACCGTTGTCACCGTTGTCACTGTTGTCACTGTTGTCACAATTGTCACTGCTGTCACTGTTGTCAATGTTGTGACTGTTGTCACCGTTGTCACCGCTCTTACTGTTGTCATTGTTTTCGCCGTTGTCACTGTTGTCACTGTTGTCACGATTGTCACTGTTTCTACCGTTGTCACCGTTGTCACCTCTGTCACTGTTGTCACTTTTGTCACCATTGTCACTGTTTCCCCTTTTTTACCGTTGTCTCCGTTGTCACCGTTGTTACGGTTGTCACGGTTGTCACAGTTGTCACTGTTGTCACTGTTTTATGCGTTGTCACCGTTGACGGTTGTCACAATTGTCACTGTTGTCACTTTGTCACCATTGTTACCGCTGTCACTGTTGTAATTGGTTCCCCTGTTGTCACGATTGTCACTGTTGTCACCGTTGTCCCCTCTGTCACTGTTGTCACCGTTGTCACTTTTTTCACGGTTGACACAGTTGTCACTGTTGCCACTGTTGTCACCGTTGTTACTGTTGTCGGTGTTGTCACGGTTGTCACCGTTGTCACTCTTGTCACCATTGTCACCATTGTCACCGTAGTCTCCGTTGTCACTGTTGTCACAGTTGTCACCATTTTCACGGTTGTCACCATTATCACCATTCTCGCTGTTTTCACTGTTGTCACGATTTTCACTGTTGTCACCGTTTTCACCGAAGTCATCGCTGTCACGGTTGTCACGGTTGTCACGGTTGTCACTGTTGTCACGGTTGTCACAGTTGTCAGTGTTGTCACCATTGTCACCGTTGTTACAGTTGTCGGTGTTGTCACGGTTGTCACCGTTGTCACTCTTCACACTCTTGTCACCGTTGTCACCGTTCTCACTGTTGTCACTGTTGTCGCTGTTGTCACTGTTGTCATCATTATCACCATTCTCGCTGTTGTCACTGTTGTCATGATTGTCACTGTTGCCACGGTTGTCACAGTCGTCACTGTTGTCAAAATTGCCACCGTTTTCACAGTTGTTGGTGTTATCAACGTTTTCACCCTTGTCAAAGTTCTCACCGTTGTCACCGTTGTCACTGTTGTCACTGTTGTCACAATTGTCACTGCTGTCACTGTTGTCAATGTTGTGACTGTTGTCACCGTTGTCACCGCTCTTACTGTTGTCATTGTTTTCGCCGTTGTCACTGTTGTCACTGTTGTCACGATTGTCACTGTTTCTACCGTTGTCACCGTTGTCACCTCTGTCACTGTTGTCACTTTTGTCACCATTGTCACTGTTTCCCCTTTTTTACCGTTGTCTCCGTTGTCACCGTTGTTACGGTTGTCACGGTTGTCACAGTTGTCACTGTTGTCACTGTTTTATGCGTTGTCACCGTTGACGGTTGTCACAATTGTCACTGTTGTCACTTTGTCACCATTGTTACCGCTGTCACTGTTGTAATTGGTTCCCCTGTTGTCACGATTGTCACTGTTGTCACCGTTGTCCCCTCTGTCACTGTTGTCACCGTTGTCACTTTTTTCACGGTTGACACAGTTGTCACTGTTGCCACTGTTGTCACCGTTGTTACTGTTGTCGGTGTTGTCACGGTTGTCACCGTTGTCACTCTTGTCACCATTGTCACCATTGTCACCGTAGTCTCCGTTGTCACTGTTGTCACAGTTGTCACCATTTTCACTCTTGTCACCATTATCACCATTCTCGCTGTTGTCATTGTTGTCATGATTGTGACTGTTCTCACCGTTGTCACCGATGTCATCACTGTCACTCTTGTCACTGTTGTCACGGTTGTCACAGTTGTCACTGTTGTCACCATTGTCACCGTTGTCACAGTTGTTGGTGTTTTCAAGGTTGTCACCGTTGTCACTGTTGTCACGGTTGTCACAGTTGTCACAGTTGTCACTGTTGCCACCGTTGTCATGGTTGTCACAGTTTTCACGATTGTCACTGTTGTCACCGTTGTCACTGTTGTCACCGTTGTCACTGTTGTCACCACTGTCACTGTCGCCATTCTTTTCACCGGTTGTCATGGTTGTCACGCTTGGCACCGTTGCACTGTTGTCACTGTTGTCACTGTTGTCACCGATGTGACCAGTGTCATCGTTGTCACCGTTTTCGCCGTTCTCGCTGTTTTCACTATTGTCACGACTCACTATTGTCACCATTGTCACCGTTGTCACCGATGTTACCTCTGTCACTGTTGTTACTCTTCTCACTGTTGTCACCGTTGTCACTTTTGTCACGGTTGTCACAGTTGTCACGGCTATCACCGTTGTCACCGTTGTCACGGTTGTCGCTGTTGTTACTGTTGTCACTGTTGTCACCGATGTGACCATTGTCATTGTTGTCACTTTTTTCACCGTTCTCGCAGTTGTCACTATTGTCACGACTGTCACTGTTGTCACTATTGTCACCGTTGTGACCATTGTCACCGTTGTCACCTCTCTCACTGTTGTCACTGTTGTCACCGTTGTCACTTTTGTCACGGTTGTCACAGTTGTCACGGTTCTTACCATTGTCACCGTTGTCACAGTTATCACTGTTGTTACTGTTGTCACTGTTGTCACCGTTGTCACCGTTGTCACTGCTGTCACTGATGTCACCATTGTCACCGTTGTCACTGTTGTCACGGTTGTCGCGGTTATCACGGTTGTCACCGTTGTCACAGTTGTCACCGTTGTCACTGTTGTCACTTTTGTCACCATTGTCAAAGATGTCACCGTTGTCACTGTTGTCACTGTCGTTACTCTTGTCACAATTGTCACTGCTGTCACTGTTGTCAATGTTGTGAACGTTGTCACCGTTGTCACCGCTCTTACTGTTGTCATTGTTTTTGCCATTGTCACTGTTGTCACTGTTGTCACGATTGTCACAGTTGTCACTTTTCTCACGGTTGTCACAGTTGCACGGTTCTCACCGTTGTCACCGTTGTCACAGTTGTCACTGTTGTTACTGTTGTCACTGTTGTCACTGATGTGACCATTGTCATTGTTGTCACCGTTGTCATTGTTTCACCGTTGTCACTGTTGTTACGGTTGTCACGGATATCACGCTTGGCACCGTTGTCACTGTTGTCACTGTTGTCACCGATGTGACCATTTTTATTGTTGTCACCGTTTTCGCCGTTCTCGCTTTTTTCACTATTGTCACGACTGTCACAGTTGTCACCATCGTCACCGTTGTCACCGTTGTTACCTCTATCCCTGTTGTCACTGTTGTCACTGTTCTCACCATTGTCACTTTTGTCACGGTTTTCACAGTTGTCACGGTTCTCACCGTTGTCACCGTTGTTACAGTTGTCACTGTTGTTACTGTTGTCACTGTTGTCACCGATGTGACCATTGTCATTGTTGTCACCGTTTTCACCGTTCTCGCTGTTGTCACTATGGTCACGACTGTCACTGTTGTCACTTTTGTCACCATTGTCACCATTGTCACCGTTGTCACCTCTGTCACTGTTGTCACTGTTGTCACTGTTGTCACCGTTGTCACTTTCGTCACGATTGTCACAGTTGTCACGGTTCTCACCGTTGTCACCGTTGTCACAGTTGTCACTGTTGTTACTGTTGTCGCTGTTGTCACCTTTGTCACCGTTGTCACCGCTGTCACTGCTGTCACCATTGTCACTGTTGTCACTGTTGTCACGGTTGTCACGGTTGTCACTGTTGTCACCGTTGTTACCGTTGTCACCGTTGTCACAGTTGTCACAGTTGTCGGTGTTGTCACAGTTGTCTCCGTTGTCACTGTTGTTACTTTTGTCACCATTGTCAAAGTTCTCACCGTTGTCACCGTTGTCACTGTTGTCACTGTCGTTACCCTTCTCACTGTTGTCACTGTTGTCACAATTGTCACTGCTGTCACAGTTGCCACTGTTGTGACCGTTGTGACCGTTGTCACCGCTCTTACCGTTGTCATTGTTTTCGCCGTTGTCACTGTTGTCACTGTTGTCATGATTGTCACTGTTGTTACCGTTCTCACTGTTGTCACCTCTGTCCCTGTTGTTACCTCTGTCACCGTTGTCAACGTTGTCACCGTTGTCATGGTTGTCACCATTGTCACTCTTGTCACTCCTGTCACCGTTGTCACCGTTGTCACCGTTGTCACTGTTGTCACCTTTATCACCATTGTCACTGTTGTCACTATTATCACTGTTCTCACTGTTGTCACTGTTGTCACGATTGTCACTGCTGGCACCGTTGTCACCGATGTCATCACTGTCACTCTTGTCACTGTTGTCACAATTGTCACGGTTGTCACTGTTGTCACGGTTGTCAATGTTACCACTCTTGTCACCATTGTCACTGCTGTCACTGTTGTCACCGTTGTCACCGCGGTCGCCGTTGCCACCGATTTCACTGTTGTGAGTTTTTTCACCGTTGTCACCGACGTCACCGTTGTCACGGTTGTCACCATTGTCACGGTTGTCAAGATTGCCACTGTTGTCACCGTTGTCACCGCTGTCACTGTTGTCACCGTTGTCACCGTTGTCACCGCTGTCACTGTTGTCATTGTTTTTGCAGTTCACACTGTTGTCACTGTTGCCACGATTGTCACTGTTGTCACCGTTATCACTTTTGTCGCAGTTCTAACCATTATCACTATTCTCGCTGTTTTCACTGTTGTCACCCTTGACACCGATGTCATCGCTGTCACTCTTATCACTGTTGTTACAGTTGTCACGATTGTTGGTGTTTTCGATGTTGTCTCCGTGTTCACCGTTGTCACAGTTGTCACACTTGTCACTGTTGTCACCATTGTCACTGCTGTCCCTGTTGTCATTTTTTTCCCGTTGTTACTGTTGTCACGGTTGTCACGGTTGTCACTGATGTCACCGTTGTCACCGTTGTCACTGTTGTCACCGATGTGACCATTGTCACTGTTGTCACCGTTGTCGCCGTTTTCGCTGTTGTCACTGTTGTCACGATTGTCACTGTTGTGACCGTTGTCACCGTTGTCACCGTTGTCACCTTTGTCCCTCTTGTGACTGTTGTCACCGTTGTCACTTTTGTCACTGTTGTCACCGTTGTTACCGTTGTGACCGTTGTCACCGCTGTCACTGTTGTCATTGTTTTCGCCGTTGCCAGTGTTGTCCCTGTTGTCACGATTGTCACTGTTGTCACCATTGTCACTGTTGTCACTGTTGACACCGTTGTCACTTTTCTCAAGGTTCTCACAGTTGTCACTGTTGTCACTGTTGTCACCGTTGTCACTGCTGTCGGTGTTGTGACCTCTTTCACTGTTGTCACTGTTGTCACCGTTGTCACTTTTGTCACTGTTGTCACCATTGTTACCGTTGTCACCATTTTTACCGTTCTCGCTGTTGTCACTGTGGTCACGACTGTCACTGTTACTACCGTTGTCACCGTTGTCACCGGTGTCACTGTTTTCATTGTTTTCACCATTCTTACTGTTGTCACAGTTGTCACGATTGTCACTATTGTCACCATTGTCACCGTTGTCAGCTCTGTCACTGTTGTCACTCTTCTCACCATTGTCACTTTTGGCACGGTTGTCACCATTACCATTCTCGCTTTTTTCATTGTTGTCACGATTGTCACTGTTGTCACCGTTTTCACCGAAGTCATCGCTGTCACTCTTGTCACGGTTGTTACGGTTGTCACAGTTGTTACTTGTCACCATTGTCACAGTTGTCGGTGTTGTCAGAGTTGTCACCGTTGTCATCGTTTTCACCGTTGTCACCGTTGTCACTGTTGTCACTGTTGTCACCATTGTCACTGTTCTCATCATTATCACCATTCACGCTGTTGTCACTGTTGTCATGATTCTCACTATTGCCACGGTTGTTACAGTTGTCACTGTTGTCCCTGTTGTCACGATTGTCACTGTTGTCATCGTTGTCACTGTTGTCACCTCTGTCACTGTTGTCGCTGTTGTCACTTTTGTCAAGGTTGTCACAGTTGTCAGTCTTGTCAATGTTGTCACCGTTGTCACTGTTCTCGGTTGTGTTACCTCTGTCACTGTTGTCACTTTTGCCACTGTTGTCACAATTGTCACTGTTGTCAGCATTATTACCATTCTCGCTGTTGTCACTGTTGTCACGACTTTCACTGTTGTCACCGTTGTCACCGATGTCATCACTGTCACTCTTGTCACTGTTGTCACGGTTGTCGCGGTTGTCGCTGTTGCCACCGTTGTCACTTTTGTCACTGTTGTCACCATTCTTACCGTTCATGCTGTTGTCACTGTTGTCCCGACTGTCACTGTTGTCACCGTTGCCACCGATGTCATCACTGTCACTCTTGTCACTGTTGTAACGGTTATCACGGTTGTTGCTGTTGTCACGGTAGACACAGTTGTCACTGTTGTCACTATTGTCACCGTTGTCACAGTTGTTGGTGTTTTTCAAGGTTGTCACAGTTGTCACTGTTGTGACTGTTGTCACCATTGTCACCGTTGTCACCATTGTCACGGTTGTCACGGTTGTCACTGTTTTCACCGTTGTCACTGTTGTCACCGTTGTCACCGTTGTCACTGTTGTCAGTGTTGTCACTGTTGGCACCGTTGTCAGCGCTTTCACTGTTCTCAGTTTTTTCACCGTTGTCACGGTTGTCACAGTTGTCACTGTTGTCACTGTTTTCACGGTTGTCAGCATTGTCACGGTTGTCACGATTGTCACTGTTGTCACCGTTGTCACCGGCGTCACCGCTGTCACTGTTGTCATTGTTTTTGCCGTTCTCACTGTTGTCACCGTTGTAACCATTATCACTGTTGACACTGTTGTCTCCGTTTTTACTGTTGTCGCTGTTGTCACCGTTGTCGCCATTGCCAGCGTTGTCACTGATGTCACCATTGTGATTATTGTCACCGTTGTCACCCTTATCACTGTGTTCACTGTTGTCACTGTTGTCACCGTTGTCACTTTTGTCAATATTGTCACATTTGTCACCGTTGTCGCCGTTGTTACCGTTGTCACAGTTGTCACTGTTTTAACTGTTGTCACCGTTGTGACGGTTGTCACAATTATCACTGTTGTAATTGTTGTCACCGTTTTCAGCATAGTCACTGTTGTCACTGTTGTCACAAATGTCACCGTCGTCACTGTTGTCACTGTTGTCACTGTTGTCACCGTTGTCATTGCTGTCACTGTTCTCACTGTTTTCATCGTTGTCACCGTTGTCACCATTGTCACTGTTGTCACGGTTGTCACGGTTGTCACTGTTGTCACCGTGGTCACTGTCGTCATAGTTGTCGGTGTTGTCGCGGTTGTTACCGTTGTCACTGTTGTTACTCTTGTCACCGTTGTCACTATTGTCACCATTGTTACTGTTGTCTCTGTTGTCACTGTTGTCACCGTTGTCACCGCTGTCACTGTTGACACTGTTGTCATCGTTCTCAACACCGTCACTGTTAGGACTGTTGTCAACATTGTCATCGTTGTCACTGTTGTCACCGTTGTCACCGATGTCATCACTGTCACTCTTGTCACTGCTGTCACGGTTGTCACGGTTGTCACTGTTGTCACCTTTGTCACTTTTGTCACTGTTGTAACCATTGTCACTGTTGTCACCATTCTTACCGTTCTCGCTGTTGTCACTGTTGTCATGACTGTCACTGTTGTCACCGTTGTCACCGTTGTCACCGATGTCATTACTGTCACTCTTGTCACTGTTGTCACGGTTGTCACGGTTATCGCTGTTGTCATGGTAGTCACAGTTGTCACTATTGTCACCATTGTCACCATTGTCACAGTTGTTGTGTTTTCAAGGTTGTCACCTTTGTCACCGTTGTGACAGTTCTCACGGTTGTCACTGTTGTGACTTTTGTCACCATTGTCACCGTTGTCACGTTTGTCACTGTTGTTACCGTTGTCACCGTTGTCACTGTTTTCACCGTCGTCACTGTTGTCTCTGTTGTCACTGTTGTCACCGTTGTCACTGTTGTCACTGTTGTCACCGTTGTCATCGTTGTCAGCGCTATCACTGTTGTCAGTTTTTTCACCGTTGTCACTGTAGTCACCGCTGTCACGGTTGTCACAGTTGTCACTGTTGTCCCTGTTGTCACGATTGTCACTGTTGTCACCGTTGTCACTGTTGTCACCTCTGTCACTTGTGTCACTTGTGTCACTTTTGTCAATTTTGTCAAGTTTCTCACAGTTGTCACTGTTGTCACTGTTGTCACCGTTGTCACTGTTGTCGGTGTTGTCACCTCTGTCACTGTTGTCACTGTTGTCACCATTGTCACTTTTGTCACTGTTGTCACCATTGTTACTGTTGTCACCATTATTACCGTTCTCGCTGTTGTCACTGTTGTCACCGTTGTCACCGATGTCATCACTGTCACTCTTGTCACTGTTGTCACGGTTGTCACGTTTGTCACTGTTGTCACCGTTGTCACTTTTGTCACTGTTGTCACCATTGTCACCGTTGTCACTGTTGTCACCGTTGTCACCGCTGTCACCATTATCACTGTTGTCACTATTGTCACCGTTTTTACTATTGTCACTTTTGTCACTCTTGTCACCCTTGTCACCGTTGTCGCCGTTGTTACCGTTGTCACAGTTGTCACTGTTTTCACTGTTGTCACTGTTGTGACGGTTGTCACAATTACCACTGTTGTGATTGTTGTCACCGATTTCAGCATAGTCACTGTTGTCACTGTTGTCACCAATGTCACCGTTGTCACTGTAGTCACTGTTGTCACCGTTGTCACCGTTCTCACCGCTGTCGCTGTTTTCACCGTTGTCACCGCTATCACCCCTGTTACTCCTTGTTACCCCTTGTCACCCCTGTTACTCCTTGTTACCCCTTCTTACCCCTTGTTACCCCTTATGACCCTTGTTACCCCTTGTTACCCCTTGTTACCCCTGTTACCTCTTGTTACCCCTTGTTACCCTTGTTACCCCTTGTTACCTCTGTTACCCCTTGTTACCCCTTGTTACCCTTGTTACCCTTGTTACCCCTTGTTAGCCCTGTTACCACTTGTTACCCCTTGTTAGCCCTGTTACCACTTGTTACCC